AACTGCCAGCCTTCTGGTTAGCAGTCAAGTGCCTTAAGCACTTGGCTCACAGATCTAAAGGAAATGGTCCAAACCTCCATATTTTCTTTCTCCAGGAAAATTCAAATGTACAAAATTAAAAATTAGATTCTTCCATTTAAAATATGAATTTCATGGTACATTTGTTCCATAGTTTGTTCCCAAATGAAATACAGGTTTTAGAGTAGTAATGAATTCTAACTCTATGTTTTAAGATCACATTTCCATGGAGCAGAGAGGGTTAGTGAAACTGTTTTAAGGGGCTGTTTGGACCAGAATTATTTTCACTAGTCTCCTTAAAGTGTATACATAGTCACCAGGTTCTGCTTACCAAAGCTATGCACACCCCATTAAAACAAGAGGAAGAGTGTCTGAGGTGTGTAGTTGTTGTTACATGCCGTCGAGTCAGCCCCAACTCATAGCGACCCCTACTTGGGTTTCCGAGGCCGTATCATTACGAAAGTAGATTGTCCAACCTTCCTTCTAAGGAGTGGCTGGTGAGTTTGAACGTCAGCTTTCTGGTTAGCAGTCAAGTGCCTTAGGCACTACCCTACCAGAGCTCCTGTTGTCTGAGGTGTGAGCACTGCTTATGTGACTTTGGACCTTGGGCAGGTCTCCTTTGTTTCACTTAGCAGATGTGTGAAGTTACACAGTTTCTAGCCTCTTTGCTTTGCTCTCTTGTCTCCACATGGGTGGTTAGTAACAGCACCCGCACCCACTCCTCTATGCCAACACACATATGTGATTTATAATACATAATTTATTTTATTTATGACTCATAAGTAATATGTGTATGTTGACAAGATATGAAGACATGGTTGTAGAATTTACTGCACCAAATGCCAACAGATAAAGGTCTGTATACTTAATAGTATATATATTTGCAGTGTTTGGCTTCAGATAAGGCAAGTGTGGCATCATTTGTTACTGAAGGATATTTTTGGTTTATTTTATTTTTTCACTGAGTTTCTTCATATAGATAATGCCCACTTTCCTGGCAAATGATGTCCGGAACAAATGCAATGCAGAAATATGTTACTTATGGAGATAACAATTTAAGTCAAGGGTTACAACTTGTGGAAAAAATGAAACATTTGAGCCTACATTTCTTTAACAGAATTAATGAGTGTAATGTGTTTATGTGAAATTATAGACTCCTGTACTAGCTTCGGTTTCTGTTCATAATTTCTATTTATATATCAAGAAAAGTTACCAGGAGACTAACCTTCAAAACTCCAGACCTCCTTATTATTTTCAATAGATACATTCTCTATTTCTAAATATATTTGTTATAAGGCTTGGTTTCTTTAGTGCATGATACCGTATTTTCTATTTAATGAAAGGGAACCAAAATGTACAGAAAATATTCATAAGTAGTGATTTGTGTGATAAAAGAATCCATGGCACCAGTGTTGAGCTGGTCTTTCTAATTGACTAGCCTGATGTTCTTGTCTCTGTCCTGTTGCCGTTAATTGACTATATTGTTTTATATTTATTCATTAAAAATACGATTTCTACTTCGAAGGAATCACTTTGTTACTTTGTAGCTTTTAAGCTGATGCCATGAACTTATTTTTCTTCTTAGATAAAGTCACATCTATAGATTTTTCAACTAATTACATGTCTGCCAATAAATACTTAGAGGATACATTTTATTTCAATTTATTATTTGTGTTTACATTGTGTGTCCCTGGAAAGATGTGTGGGACTGGAAGGAAATGTTTCAATGGTGTTTATTTCTACTTTTTCATTGCTCTCTTTCTCTTTCTTTTCTTCTTCTTCTTTTTTTTTTTTTTTTTTTCTTCTTCTTTTCACTCTCTCTTTTTTTAATAGCTCCAGTCAGTCTGGTCAAGCATGACAGCAACTCAAACTCGGCAAACTTCCAAGACGCTGAGGACATGCCTGACTGGTGTTTATTTCTCATTGTTCATTGCTCTCTTTCTCTTTCTTTTCTTCTTCTTCTTTTTTTTTTTTCTTCTTCTTTTCACTCTCTCTTTTTTTAATAGCTCCAGTCAGTCTGGTCAAGCATGACAGCAACTCAAACTCGGCAAACTTCCAAGACGCTGAGGACATGCCTGACAGATGTGTCTTGGAAGAGTCTGAGCATCCAGGTGAAAGCCATTTAAAAATAGTCAAGTATAAAATGATAAATTTGACACAGCTTTGGGGTCCTTGGAAGGGTGTGGGGGAAGAGGACATTGTAATGCTGTTTTCTCTTAGCAGCTGCACTATCAAATTAATGGTCACCTCCAGGGGTCACAGTGTGGAGCTGTTATCTTTTCCTCTTTCATCAAGAATTCAGTCCAAGGAAGTACAAAGGCTTTAGGACTGAGAAGGGAAGCTGACACTATTAGTTCATTATCATCAATTTTAGGCTAAACTAGTTGATAGAGGCAGAGATTCAAAACTGGAGACATGGCAACATGTTAAATATTTCAAATAATAGGATCTTGAGGAGAGTCAAGAGAAGGTGGATAGAGAGAAAAGAGAAGCCAGTTGTCATCTTTACAATTCAATTTACCTTTCTAAATACAAGCAGGACTCATGCAAACTGTGATGAGGATTTCAGCATGACAGTAACGGATGTTGTCAGCTGTTTATAACAAAGCAAAAGAAAAAGAAAACCCCTCCTCACACAATAAAATCCACCCTATGTCAAAGTTGCTTATGTTTGTATTTTCTTTGTAGAAGAAAATAGGCAGAAATATATTGGAAGAATCCTGTCAGAAACATTTAGGTTTCTGTTTCCTATTTTGTTTTGTTTTAAAGTCCGTCCAGTCATAACAACTATTTCTTTTTTTAAAACTGTATAAAAGTTGAATGACATTCCTAGACCATTACAAAGCCTTAAGGTTCTTGAAGGTACCTTATTACCATGAGTGAAAAAGTTAAATACTACCTGCCTCACACATTTAATATTTTTCTTTCCTGTTTTATCTGGCTGCTGTATACCCCCCACCACCCTCTTGCATCTTTGTGTGCTGATCCATGTATCATATTTTTGATTCATCCTCTCTGTGGCCTGTCAGCTTAGTTAAGAGATTTCCAAATCTTGTAGCCTTCGCTGACAGGAGGCAGCTGCAAACAGTCCCCTGATCCTTCCCGGAGGAGAGCTACTGAGATTTAATTTTCAGTGAAAGGTGCAGCCTGCAATCTATGTCAGGTCCCCTAAGTCATCTTGGAACCCCAGCAGGCCCAATGGAGGTGGCATTGTATTTCAGTTACCTCTTCTCCACTAAGATTCCTCAAAAGATGAACTGCCGGTGTGCCTCATTTCATCCACACTCCTACTTGTGTTAACATCCCATGGAACTGAGACATGGCATCTTTAGCAATGACAGAAAATTTTAACCAGCAAATTAACCCCACCCCCTGTCATAATATCTAAAGGAAAAACCTCAGCCTCACTTTAAAAGAGAAAAGATAGGAGTAGTGCTAAATTTCTATTGTAAACATTACTTAAAACTTACCCTTAATTTTGACGAAAATTGCCTAATTTTGACTAGACTTTAAAGTATGTTCATCAACAGCTTTCTAGCAACCCTTTTTTTTTTTCTCTGACAGTTAAATCGAGTAAAATTTTTACAGAAGTAAGCATTTGTTGTTTCTGGTGAGAATAGATCCGATTTATACCATTTCACAAGAAGAATAAATTTCAGTCATCCCTTCATATGAGTGGAATTGTGGTGGGATTCAAATAGGATGTACTTCATCTAATTGATATAAACAAAAAGATATATTGGAAAAGAAAAATTCATTAGAAAATATAGGTGCTGATAAAGAATCTTAACTTAAGAAGTAAGCACTGTTCTGCACATCGGACATCATTAAACTGGTAATAAAGGATGAATTACTCTGGCTTTTTCCTCTGTCCATTCCTGCATTTTTAAGACATCTTGCCTTATAGGCCTAGAAACCTCTTGAGAGTTCACTACTGGTCTCACTGCCTTCCACTGAGAATTTGTGGCTTGGTTGTCATGGAGACATCGTATTTCTCCAAGAATTGCTCATATTGATCCGTGGCCAGGCGTAAATGGCCAGGCGAGTGTGAGGAATAAAGGGGGCTGGGCAGTACTATAAAATGACCAGGGCTTGTGGGTTGGAAATAAGCTCATAACAAACACTTAGGTAAAAAGAAAGAAGCAGTTTTATTTTGTTTCAGGATTTCTTTCTGCACTTTGGACCATTGTCTTCTTTCACTATGAACTGAAAGAAACTTGTTAGTCACTTGTCATGTCAGATCTTTGGTGCTTTCCTGACACAGCTGTCAGCCTTCCAGCTCTGTTTAGTTTAGGGACACACAACAAAGAGGCAGTGGCATGAATTATTTATTGCTCCTCGTGTGGATAAAATTCTGTGATAAGAAATTAAGACACTTCTGACAGAGGTGCTTGTTTAGTAAGAAAGATTTTGATGAAAGAGTGTATTTCCTCGAACTATGAGCATTTGGGAGGCAAAATTAGTAGAACTGTACATGGACAAAGATAAGTTTTGTAGTTCTTGTGTGAATTTGGTGGCATAAACTTTCTTGAACTGTGAAAATATGACTATCCACTTTTCAGTGGCTAAAAATAAACTTCCAAATATCAAGTCATTCAAAAGTACCAACTCCAAAACGAGAAACATTACTTTGGTGGTTTAGTTACCTCAGTAAACAATGTGTGAGTGGTGTTTCTCTAAAAAGTGTTAACCACCTTAGTTAAAAAGTAAAAACAAAATTGGGGGTCATTAACTGGTGCACTTTGGGAAAATTTCTTCAAACCAGTAAAGTTGCTTCACTAGCTAAGCCTATAATTAGGTTAGTATACTTGTTATATGGAAAGGGGTACATTTACAGCTGAATACATTGTTCTTTCTTTTCTCACCTGGAAGATTACCACTCAGTTTAAATTTCTTTTAACCTTTTCATCTACATGCAAAAGCCCTCAGTTACAAAGTTCAATATGGTCAGTCTTGTAGCTCAAATGGATATTGACCTTACATGGTTTTATATTTGCGATGCTAAGTGACTAATATATTTATTACATCATTTTAAATGAATTGACTAGTTGTTGGAACAGCATATAGAAAATGAGAAAAAAAAAATCTTTTTCAGAGCCAAGCATGGTTCAAAAGTATTGTCTCATACATTATTCTCTCAAAATAAAGCCTTTAAACATCATTTTGCTTTAGCTCTTATACCTCCATATTTCATATGCAGAGAGCAAGAAGGACAGCAAATCTCAGAAAAACTAAATTTTTGAAGAAAGCCAAAATCAATATTTTAAAAATGTTGATAGAGAATTTTTAAATGTCATTAATAAATCAAATTTGCAGAATTTATATAAAATGGTAAGATTGACTTTGTGAATTGAGTCTCTTTAGGCATAATGAGTAGATTATTTTTACATCGACATCTCTGCTCCTTTAGCACTGAATTGACTAGAATGACCCATTTGTAAATGGACTGTAGTCTGCATATAGGTCATAGTTCAGATGCTTTGTGAAGTAGTTGTTCACCTGGTCTCTAGAGCACTCTACCTTATTCAACATGCCGCTGTGAGCTCTTTATTGGTTCAGACCATATACCCAGGTGAGTGCTTGGAGTCCATTAAGATTGGCAAAGCAACTCTAGACCAGAGCATCCCTGTTACTGTGACCCTGCTGGTGAACCTGGAGGCCCTCTCTGATAGGTGAAGGTCTCCCTCAGCAGTGTCTGTTCTTTGGAATAATTCATTCGCAAAGAGTTTTGACTCACAGGTGAATCCCAGATTGAAGTTTCTGACTTAGACTCTTTGAAGTCTACTTGCTTCTTCACTAGCATTTATATATTCCTAAAACCGCTGGGAATAACTTTGCTGAGAATAACTTTGCTGTTTAGTAAGTGAACTCTAAGACAACATTGTGAACTCAGCTCCTCTCCCCACCTCCACCCTTTTTTTTTAAGATTTTAGGGCCATAGGCTTTGTTTGGCTCTTAAAACCTAGTTGCTTTTGAATCAAAAGAAAGAGATTATTATAAAATTTATTCTATTTAGTCTTTGTCCTATTAACTTCTTAACTGTTTTCTATATCATGATTAAATCTCACTCCCCATTCTCCAGAACAAAAAAGTGTCCCTAGCCCCTCATCGTTGCACTCATATGGATACAAAATTTAGTGTGGTATTCAAATTTTTATACAGGTGTTAATGAAAGACCTTGAGCTTGTATTACCTTACTGTCTTGGAAAACTAAGAATTTTACTTCCTAATGTATTAGGGCAGTGCATTCAAAAGTACTTTCAGCTGAAAATAACAGTGACAAGATAGAGCTTGAAGTAAAAAAAAATAATACATTCAGATAAGAGTTTTCACATTATTCTGAAGTAGGTTATAATCAGTATGCATTTTGCCATTAATAGAACATTTTAGTGGTTTTTATAAAGCGCTTTATGTGTGTAGATCTATATACATCATTGTCAATCAATATCACATTTGCATGAATCTGATGAACAAAACTGGCTTTCTCATAGAATTTCCAGGGGATATTGCATTGTGAAAAGCCAAGGTGGATTTTTTTTTTTTTTTTTTTTCTTTTACTATTCTGGCTCATGAATCACCAGCAAAAATCAGGTAACAGAAAGTAGGACAGATTCAGGACTGGAGTGTTGGAGATGGCTGATGATGATGCATGGAGCAGAAAAAATGTGGAATGTGTGAGCAGCCCATCAATCATAGCCATCGAGGACACACTTCTTATGGTTAGTGGTTTTTTTAAAAAAAAACTGTTCTAGAAGAAGTAGGAACAAATTCAGTCATGAAAACATGTAAGCTTGTTCTTCTGGTTATGTTGAACAACATCACATTTTTTTAATTTGTCAAAAAGGAAGAATTTAAACAACAGCCTAATAATCCTTAAAGGAACATAAAGTTGTAGGCTAATATACATATTCTTTATATATCGTATATTCAGTACTTGCTTAATTACACCAGAGAATCAGCATTTTGAATTTTTGGTCAGTGGGAATGGGACTTACTATGCATGGTCACATCATTAACATAATTTTGTTTAGAAATAGTTAACTAAGACACAATGCACCAAATAGTTTGCTAGTCAAATTAATTTAAATCAAATGATATTTTTTAGCTTACAGTTACAACCATACAAGTAGTCTGAGAAATAAATGCTAGTTTGTATTCTATAACTCACACCATACTTCTAACATTTATAAAATTTGATCCTAAAGCTGCAGTTATGGGCTACTCTAAGACCAATTCAGCTGCTTATTTATGTAAATCTACTAATTTCAAACCAAATACATTATGTTGAAATTTTCACCTCCCGTGACAATTAAAATAATCAATTTATATTAGTAATGTATATAATTAAAATGTATTTACCTGGGACACTGAAGATTTATTAAATAAGGATATTTTTATTATATTCCCATAGTTCATTTTGGGATAGATAAGATGTGTTGGAATTATAAGCAATACCTATTTTTTTTTTCCTTCATCACTTCCCTCATTTCTTCATTCTTTCATTCCTTTCTTCCTTCCTTCCCTCCAGCCTTCCATTTTTCCTTTCTTTTCCTTCTTTTATCCCTTCCTCTTTCTCTCCCTGCCACTCTTCCTTCCTTTCTTTCTCTTTCTTTGTTTCATCATATAATCCAAGATATCTGTTTTCTTTTTAGGTAAGCTGAGGCATCATTCATGGATAATGAAGGTGTGCTCCTGCAAAGTCTGCTAAATGGAAACTTATCCACAGAATTGGATTTATTAAGATATTCAAAGCTTACCATTTATTTATCATTGAAAATGAGTTATATTGTTATTCGTTCAAGTACCAGGCTATAGTGGGTTTGCTAATCTGTTAGCCAGTGTATTGCATTGCTGATTTGAAGATACCCAGATTCATCTAATTTTAGAATATCATTGTCTAAGTCACTCTATATTTCTTTCTTACGTTTTTGTTAATATTTTCAACAAAGAATGACATCCTTATGATACATATTTAACACTTTTTAAAGATTTTCTTCCATCCTTTTAATTCCTGAATTAACAACAAGTAACATTAAAGCAATTTGTAACACATGATGCTTTTAAATTTGCTGTTGCTTCAGTGCATTTAACTGAAATCTCTTTCAGATTTTGCTTGATCTGTTAGATTAAGATGTTTTGTTGTAGTTGATGCTTTAATTTGAATCAATCACTCTGCAGTAAATCTCATCACTAAGCATTAAATGTTGTCAACAAATAGCCAAATCTATTTAGCCATCAATTAGCCCAAATAAGTGATACACCATATAAGAGACTAACCTTGTGTAGTCAAGTTAATTTGGACTTCTAATGATATAGAGGCTAATGTCTTCAACTAAATGTTGATTTTGTTGGTCATAGAAATTCAAACTAGGGAAGAAGAATCTACTTATGGTACATCACAATTGATCCTTATAAAGCATAAATTCTTGTAATTCTCTTCTCAGAAAGCTAGACTAGCATGAATTCTAAAACTAAAATATGCAAAACAATATAAATAGAAATAGACATAAAGTGGTCATCTATTAAGGCCTTTAGTGACCTGATTTATTTGCCATGATTTATGTTACACAATTACTGTATTTTTTATAAAATCATTAAAAAGTTTATTAATGTGCATATAGTATAAATATATATATTGCCTAGTCCCTAAAAAAATGAATGGATTATGTATTTTCTCTCTCTCTCTCTCTCTCTCTCTATATATATATATACATATACACACACACACACACACAAATAGTATATATATATATATATATGTTTGTATATATATATACACATATCTCTCTATCTATCTATATATACATATCTATCTATATATATATACATACATACATATACACACGCACAGAGCCATGTGTCATTTAACATATGAAATAGGACATTATGTGATTTGAACATTGTATGAACACTGGTATATATAGGCAGTTCCCAGATTATGAACGAATTTCATTACTAAATCTATCTTTAAGTTGAATTTATACATAAGTCGAAACAATTAAGTATGATTCATATCTAACATCAGACAAATGTTTGTTTTAGTATATAGTATATAGATGCATTAAAAACATTAAAGAAACACTTCTAGATACACTAAAACATCTTTAATATAATAATACAGTAATAATGTTTTGGTGTACATTGCAAAATAGTAATTGTTTGTTATTATGAACCATTGTATGTACCTCAAATTTTTAATATAATAGGCTTTACAGTGGTTGGGACCACAGATGTATATGTGGTCAGATGGTACCCAAACAGACATTATGTGATGCGTGATTATCTATCTATCTCTCTGGAGAGAGAGAGAGAGAGAGAGAATTGCAAATCACTTCCTTTCAGCAAACATTTTTTTGAGCACCAGCATCATATATCAGGCCTGTATCAAGCTTGTATCAAGCCTGTGCTGGGATGCAGTGGGCAGAGCAGATGGGGCAATTGGAGATGAAAACAATATGACTGAAATAACATGGTTTCTACCTGTAGGGAACTTATAATTAATGATTGACCTGAGGTGAATATACCAGAATACAGGCATCAAATGAGTATGACTCTTTAATGTAGCTTAAAATATGTGTTCTTTTCTTCCTCAAATATGTCATTGCCTGAAATTCCTTTTTAAGCATTGCACTTCAGTAACGACAGGACATTTCCTACATAAGTAGTAGAGGACATTGTCATTTTTAAAAACAGACATATATACTCCCCCACTCCCACCTCTTTGGAAACGGCAAAAAGCTGTTTGGAACTAGTTCCAAAACTCAAAGTTCTATTTTATATCTAAAACCAAAAAACCAAACTCATTGCCATTGAGTTGGATCCAACTCATAGTGACCCCTCCTTGGGTTTCTGAGGCAGTATCAATATCACTATGGAAGGAGATTGCCCAACCTTCCTTCTGAGGAGTGGCTGGTGGATTTGAACTGCCAGTCTTCTGGTTAGCAGTCAAATGCCTTAGGCACTACACCACCAGAGCTCCTATTTCCCATTATTTCCTTTTCAAAGAGAATGAAAATAAGTTTTGACAATTGCCATAATTAGTATTTTTATCAGGCCCAGAAAAAGCAATATTGTATCCATAATAAATATGCTTTACAGTCACTAGCTATAAGAAATTAGAACTGGCATAACTTTGTCATTACTAAACAGGATTTTAAAGGTTTTTGGCATCATATTTTACATAATGAGAATTTAAAAAATAATTTTTAAATATTTAATAAAACTTATTTTGTCAGTATGAATTCTGTAGACCAATACTACTATCAAAGGTTTTATTAGAAATATTTAAATAATGCTTCCCTAACATCCACACTTATAGTGCCTAAGGCACTTGACTGCTAATCAGAAGGCTGGTGGTTCAAACCCACCAGCCACTCCTCGGAAGATGGGGCAATCTACTTCTGTAGTAATACTGCTTTGGAAACCTAAGGAAGTGTCACCATGAGTCAGATCTGACTCAACGGCACATAGCGACAACAACAACAACATCCACACTGGAGCTCTGGTGGTGTAGTGTTAAAGCATTCAGCTACTAATCACAATGTTGGAAGTTTGAACCCACCAGCCTCTGCATGGGAAAGATGAAACAGTCAGCTTCCATAGTGATTCACAGCCTTGTGAACCCTGTGGGGTGGTTCTACTCTGCCTTAAAGGGTCACCTCAGAATCTACTTCATGACAGTGGGAATATCCATGTCCAAGTATATTAATGGCACAAATTCACTAGTTTGTTTAAAAATAATTTCTCTTATTCATATTGACTTATTTTCAACATATTTCAGTGACTTCTATTGTGAGGAGACTTAATTTAAAATAGCAGTTCCACACAATTAATTGGATTGAACATGTGGTGATCCAGACCACTTAATCCCTCAGCTAGAAACTCAGAATTACTGTCTCTTGATTGACTTTAGGTCCTTTTTTGCACATCTAGTTTTGGGTAAAAAATGTAAGTGGGGTGATTGTATTAGGTAAGGTATTTGTGTCCAGAGTCTTCATTGTCATATTGTCATTGTAATAAACGGTTTATTGGCAAAAAATAAATGAACATTTTTGTGGTAATCGTCTTGGTGATATTTGTGATTT